AGCTCTAGCAGCAGCCCCAGCAGCAGCTCCAGCAGCCTCCCCGCAGCAGCAGCGCGCGGGCCCCACAGCCAGCAGCAAACTTCCCCTGCGCCCCCAGACAAGGCAAAAAAGGCTAAGGGAGATCTTAGCAACGGGAAGCTGGGAAGCTCATGGGAATCTTTCTTGGATTCTTCTTCCGGCAGCTCGGGGGCCTCTTCTCAGAGGAATTCGCTGCAGGGTTCGCCGCGGGGGCCCCCACAGGGGGCCCCCGCGGCACAGGGCGAGGGGGTACAGGGGGCCCCGGGGCCCCCTGCCAAGCCGAGAGCGAGCCCCGCGACTACGGGAGCTGCTGCTGCACGTGCAGCTGAGGCGGCAGCAGCAGCAGCAGAAGAGGCAGCAGAAAAACGCACGTGGTCCACACACCTGCAGTCCCGCGTTTCGAGCCACCGACGACACCTCGACGAGGCTTTTGCTGCTGCTAGCGACAGCAGCAGCAGCAGAAGCAACAGCGGCACGGGAGCCCGGGCAGGGGGCTCTGCGCCTCCAGATATTTCTCGGCGTTTAGCCATTCGTGATCATGTGCAGCAGCAAGTTCTGCTGCTGCAGCAGCAGCGGCAGCAGCGCACACGCCAGCAGCAGATGCAGCAGGCTATGCCTATCCGCACCTCGCCGGTACTGATTGACCCTAGACTTGCTTGCCGTGTCCCTCCGGGCTGCGGCCAAGAGCTCCTGCAGCAGCAGCAGCAGCAGCAAACTCAGCTGCACAAGCGCGGCATGCAGCAGCAGCGAGAGAGCGAGCTGCTGCGCTTAGAGGAACAGCGAATGCTGGCTGCTTTAGCGCATGCATCAATGCGGCAGCAGCAGCAGCACCGCCAAGCTGCAGCACTCCTGGATGGGCAGGTGGCAGTGCAGCAAAACGAACTGGAAATCATTCGCATGCAAATGAAGAACATGAGAGCGGCTCTTGAAAGCTGTCGGTCTGCTGCTGCTGCAGAGAAAGAAGAATTCCTGCAGCTTGCTACTGAACTAAGAATGCATCACCACAGCGGGGAAAGCGCAGTCACCAGCTCGCTAACTGCCAGGCAGAGGCTCATGCTGCTGCTGCAGCAGCAGCTGCAACACTACAATGATATGTCTACTAAGGCTCAGCTGCAGCAGCAGAAAAGCGATGAGCTCCTGCAGCAGCAGCAGCAGGCTGCAGAAGAAGCTGCCTCCAGCCTGCAACTTCAGCAGCAGAAACAGCAGCAGGAGCTTCACGAAAAGTACTCTGCCAGCATAGGCAGCGATCTAATGCAGCAGCAGCAAGTGGGCCAGTCCATCGCAGACACTGAGAAAAAGGAAGCAACACTAAAGGCAGTGGAGCAGCAGGTCAGAGATGAGCTAGAAAAACAGCAGCAAGCATATTTGCAGGAGAAGCAGCGGCTGATGGATGCACAGCAGCACGAGAGACTTTCTGCATTGGAGGCAGAAAGGGCGAAGCAGCAGGAGCAGCAGATGCTGCTTCTTCAAGAGTACCAGCAGCAGCTAGCTGAGGTACAAGCCCTCAAAGAGCAGCAGCTACTGGAACAGCAACAGCTCGAACAATCCATTGGGCAGCAGAGGCAGCAGCTGCTGGAAGAACAGCAGCGGCTGGAGGAGGAGCATAGGCAGCAACAGGAAGCTTTGCAGCAGGAGATGCACCAACAAGAAGGCTTGCGGCAACAACTTTTGCAGGAACACCAAAGGCAGCAAGAACTGCTGCTGCAGCAGCAACAGGAACTGGAGCTGCAAAGGCAGCAGCTGCTGCAGGAGGAGCAGCACCGGGCAGCAGAATATGCCAAACAAGCAGAGGAGCTGCAGCGAGAACATCAGCTCATGGAGCAGCACGAACTACAGGTGCAGGAAGAAAGAGACGAATTGCTGCGGATACAGCAACGCTTCCAGGAGCAGCAGCAGCTCATGCTGCAGAAGCAGCAGGAAACCGTTCAGCCACGGCCTCCTGTGGCTCAGCAGCAGCTGCAGCAGCAGCTGGGCGAGCAGCAACAGATGCTGCAGCAAAAGCAACAACAACAGCAGGCGGAGCTCAAGCAACAAGAACAGGAGCTTTTCAAGGAGAGCGCCAAGTTCCCACTGCAGGAGCAGCAAGAGGCGCAGCCTCTTGGGGAACGGTTTGTGGAGCAGCAGCGGGAGCAACAGCAGCAGGAGCAGCAGCAAAAGCAAGAGCAGCAGCAAAAGCAGGAGCAGAAGCAGCAGCAGCAGCAGCAGCCAGTGCCGCAAGAGCTTCCTCCGGACGAGATGCAGCGGCTGGATCTGGCCCGATCAGCTCAGCTCGAGCAGCAGCAGCATGCGCTGCAGGAGCAGCAGGAGCAGCAGCAAGCTATTCTGGAACAACAGATTGCCCAGGCAAAGCAGGAGCAACTGCAGCGGAGCATTCTTCAGCAGCAGCTTGCACAGGCAAAGCAGGAGCAGCTGCAGCGGAGCATTCTTCAGCAGCAGGCTGAACAAGCAAAGCAGGAACACCTGCAGCGGAGCATTCTTCAGCAGCAGGCTGCACAAGCAAAGCAGGAACAGCTGCAGCGGAGCATTCTTCAGCAGCCACTCGAACAGGCGAAGCAGGAACAGCTGCAGCAGACACCGCCGGAGCAGCAGCAGCCGAGCCAACCGGCTGTGAGCCCCGCACATGACTCTCGAATATTCACAAGGGAAGAGGAACTCCGAAGAATTGAAGAGATGGAGGTTAGAACCACTAAGTGTCTGTACACTGCAGCAGACCAGTTCAAGTTTCTAGCGTGTGTCCCATACATCTTGAGCAGTTTTTCACTTAAGCCTAAAGCCTCTGCAGACTGTATTTTTAAAGCACTGCTTTGTTCATTATTATTATTCAAAATTCTTTGCATAAGATGCTTCCTTTTGCTTTCAGCGAGCAATTCGAGCACAGCAAGCCGAGTTGGAAGCCGCTCGGGAGGCCCCAATCTCGAAAGCCGTGCTGCAGCAGCGATCTCGCTTGCTGCTGCAGCAGCCACACGAACACCAAGGAGGGCTGCCGCCAACTCTCTCTCCTTCAACATCAAGTCCGGCCTATGTTCCAGCACCTACGGGGCTGCCACGTCCTGCTGCAGTTGCGCTGTATGAGCCTGAGGAGGCAGCAGAAAGGGAGCACTACAAGCTGCTGAACCAGGAACTGCAGCGGCGCTGTGTTAGCTTGCAGCAGCAGGTGGTGCAACTCCAGGAGCAGCAGCAACAGCAGCAGGATGGGGCCCTGCAGCAGGAACAGATAAGCCTTGCCGTCCAGAAGATGAAGGAGCTAGAGGCCTATGCAAGGGCTCTAGAGCAGCAAAACAAGGAATTGCTGAAGACCGCAGAAGACGCGCTGCAGCGGCAGAGTAAAGAACACGAAGAGGATATCCTGCTGCTGAAGCAGGGGTCTCAGGAGCAGCTGCAGCAGCAGGCGCAGGAGCACGAAAAAAGGCTTCTCCGGGAAAGGGAGCAACTGGCATCATTCTTCCGCACGGAATATGACAAAGTTGTTGGGCAGGCAATGGAGGGGCAGCAGGAGCTGAAGCGGACTCAAAGCATGCTAGAAGAGGCCAAAGTCCAGCAGCAGGACCTCGAGACGCTGCAGCAGCAGACGGCGGAAGCTCAGCAGGAGGCCCGCAGGCTTGCTGCTGAGTACCAGGCTGCTGTGCAGGAGAAAGAAACAGCAGCAGCAAAGGCTCAGGAGCTCAAGGCCCTCAAAGCTGCTGCAGAGGAAGAGAAAGAAATGCTCTCGCGGTCTGTCGAGAAGCTGCATGGGGAAACAGAGCAGATGAGGCAGGAGCTACAGAAGCAACACGAGCAGCTGCAGCTGGAGAAGGGCCAGCTGCAGAAGCAAATGCTGCGGGAGAAGGAACAGATGCAGCAGGACCTGCAGCGAGCGCAGCAGCAGCTAGCAGCTGAGAAGCAGAAGCTAATGATGCAGCTGCAGCGCGACCGCGAAGCGCTGGAGCAGCAAGTCGAGAAGGACCGAGCAGAACTCGCCAGGGAAAAAGTAGACAGCGACAAGGCTCAGAGAGCTCTTCTGAGGAAACTGGAAGAAACAACAAGTCAGTCTATTGCAATGAAGCAGCAGGCAGACGCAGCAGATTTCGAAAGGAAAGTTCTGGCGGCGCGCTGCGAAAAGTTGCAGAAGGAACTGGAGGAGCAGCAGCAGCAGCAGAACAAAATCACAAAAGAAAGGCACCGCACGCTGGAAGCACAGCTAAATGAAGAAAGGGCTCTGAACCAGCAACACACAGAACGGCTGAAGAGGCTGCACACGGAGCAGCTGGATGAGCTTCAGCAAAAGTACGAAAATGCAATTGAAACTCTGAAGCGGAAGGGAACAGAAAAAGCAGAGAAGAAAGCTCATGTGCTGGAGGAAAGACTGGCTGCTCTAGAAGCTGAGCAGGAGGAAAGAATGAAAAGAAAGCAGCACCAGCATCAGCAAGAACTCCAAAGACACAAAGAAGAGACGGACAAGGAAAAGGGAATCCTGCAGAAAGAAGTGACCAGCCTCAAGCAAAAAATCCAAGGAGAGACGGAAACGCTTCGAGAGAAACACAAAGAAGAGAAGAAAAGCCTCGAGAAGATGTGGCAACAAAAGCTGGAACAGGCGACACAAAAAGTGCAGTGTAAGCCCCTGGGAGTGGAACTTCTTTCGGGATGCTTTTCTCTGTCTTGCACTATCTTTCCCTCTTGGTCTTTTAACTACTTGTTTTAGCCTCTCCCCTGTGTCTGTGCACTGCTGCACTATCTAGAAAGAACCATAGAGGCAGCATTTGCGAGTTCATGTACCTTAATGACTCACAGCTTTGTGGCTGAAGTATGTATGGCGTTTTTGCTGTGGCTTGTTTGCTGTGCAGCTTTGCAGGAGCAGCTGGAAGAAGAGTCAGAAAAAAGGAAGCAGTCCGACCGCTTTAGAAATTCTCTGCTGCAGCGTGTCGAGCAAATGGGCCAGGAAGTGCAAGACATGCATCGCCGTTTGCGGGAAATGACGACAAAGTACGAAACGGTGAAAAGCAGCAGAGACAAAGCACTTGCGCAGCACGAGGGGTTGCAGGAAGAGCTGACGCGAATCAAGCAGCAGCAGCAGCAGCTGCTCCGGCGAGCCGAAGAAGCAGAACAGCAGCAGCAGCTCCTACAGCAACAGCTGCAGCAGAAAACAAAACAGCTTGAGACTGCCAGACAAGCGCAGGAACGCACAAGCGAACAGCTGCAAGCAGCGAATGCCGATCTTTCCAAGCGGAGGCAAAGCATGTTGTCTGCAAATGACAAATACAAGGAATTGCAGGAGGCGCTCTCAGAAGCTTTAGCAGAATCTTCCAAGAAGCAGCAAGAACTGTCTTCTTACAAAGTGAGTCCAGCCTCAGATGGCACAAGCTCAACAAATGCCCGAAGCCATGCACGGAGTGTTTAGGCAGTGAGATAACAGAACAGCAGATAGGCATGGTAGGAAACAGTTCAGAGAGGAGCCGCAACAGTAGCTGCTATTTTACTTTTTCTTCTTATGAGTTATACTGCGGCTGTCACCTTTTACTGCAGAAGCGCCTGCAACAAAAGGAGCAAACAATCGAAGACCTGCAAGCGGAGCTGGAGGGCCTCGATGGAAGACACCAGCAGGCGCTGCAGCAGGCTAAGTCCGCAACATCTGCGCAAGCAGAAACGACGCGGCTAACAGAGGAGGCAGCGAGCCTCCGAGCAGCTCTGGCGGAGGCCAAGAGTAACTGCAGAACAGCAGAAGCCAAGCTGGAGGCTCGAGAATCGGAGCTGCAGAAACTGCGAAAAGACACTGAAGCGGCCAAGCATGTAAGCGTCATGAACTCTCTGTGTTTCCCCATGCAAGCTGCCCTTTTTGCCCCAAAACATGTCCTACGAAGCGTTTCAACTAATTCCCGTTTACAATAGGCCCACAGTTGAGACATAGAGGTTTCGATTCTAGAGTTAAGGGCTTGTGGGCTGGTGTCCGTTGCGCACAGGAGGTAAAGGCCTCTTCTGCCACTGAAGCGGAAGCGTCAATGGAGGCAAGCGCACTGGCCCAGCAGCTGGCGAGCTCACAGTCTGTGGTGAATGAACTTCGAGAAGCATACAAGGCAGAGAAGGAAAAGGCCGCAGAAGCACTCGCAGCACTTGCTGCAGCAAAGACAGCGGCAGCTCTTGCAGAAGAAAGGTATAACCAGCTCCAAGAGAAAATCCAGACTCTTCAGTCCGAGCGAAACAGGCTGGAAGCTCAAGTCGCCCAAAAGGCGCAAATTGCGCAGGAAGCAAGAGTATGTTCAGCCCACTCGGCCGCTATCGTCATTGCAGCAAAACCTCTGGCACCCGATTGCACTGCTGCGTTTGCTGCAGCTACGATTTCCTGCTGTGCGGCACAAAACGACGAAATGCAGAGATATGTGCATATATTTGTACTGTTTGCTGCTGCAGTCGGAGGCAGCAGCTGCCCTCCAGTCCATGCGCGAATGCTTCACAGACTTCAGCAGAGGTCAGGAGCAGATGATGAGGCACATGCTGGAAAGCATCGCCGCTAAGAACCGAGAGCCAGTTGCTGGTGCAGGCGTATTGAAACTGCCTTCAGCCGAAGACCTCTCAGCCGCTGCGGGGGTTTCTGCGCAAGTGCAGCAGCTCAGCCAGCAGCTGACAGAACTAGCCATAAAGCAGCAGCAGCAGCTGCAGCAGCCACAAACCGCCAGGGTCACGTCTGGTGCAGCTACGCCAGCAGCAAACAACAACAACGAAGCCCTACAAATAATCAAGCAACTTGTCGAGCTCATTGCACATCCGCAGGAGCAAAGACAACGGGATACTCGCCAGCAAGCGCAGCAGCAGCAGCCTTCGCCCCGACTCTCAACGGCACAAGGAGCGGCCGCACAAGCGGCTTTGTCTTCTGAAGCACGGAGACTATTCCGTAGCATCATTTCCTGGGTTTCCCGCCTCAAGGGCAGTATCCCAGGGGTGTCTCTTCTGCAGGTTCTCCTTTCTTTGCCTTCCTATGCTTTCCCGGAGGAGGCAGCCAACGCCATTTGTGGAATGGCTGACTACTTGTCCCCTCTAGCAGGGCTCGAAGGTTTAGGTAGAGTAGTTTCTCCTCCAGCCCGCGCTGCTGCAATGTGGGAAAGGGCAAGCCGCAGCAGGCCCGTAAGCCCTGCAGTAGAGGAGCAGCTGCGGAGAGCGGTGCAGCAGGTGCACCAGCATGCAGCAGCAACAGCCGGTGCGCCCCTGAATCGGCAGGATGACGCAGTTGCTGCGCTGCTGCGAGCAGCACCAGCAGCACACCCTATGTCTGTAGTGCATGCAACAAGAGGCTTGGGGCCTTTGTTAGATACGGACACGACGCTGCAACTGCTGCGGCAAGCACAAGCTAGTGGAGCACCCCCTGTAGAACTGGCAGCAGCAGCGTACCGCTGCTTGCCAGTGGCCCAGGCAAACGCATTCTGTGAAGATCTACAGCAACATAACGGTAGCCGCCTACCACAGAAGGAGCACCTTGAGTTAGTAGACGAGCTGCTGCTGCTGCTGCAGCAAGCTTTGCAGCTGGCAGGACACGCCCGACGCCAGCAAACAGCCCAAGAACATGCACAATACTTCTTTGGGCCGCCTGCGCCTCCGCCATACGGCGGTGAGTTTTTAAATAGCTTGGTCTTCAGAGTATCAGATGAACTGCTGCTGTCCTGTACTGCTGTTCTTTAGTGTTGTGTGCTGTGCTTAGCTGGTGTTTCTCTTGAACTTGATTGGCTCCCCCCTATTATTGTGTGCTCTTCTGAATGCAGGCGTCTTGGTGCCAAGTGTGTGCGCCGCGCAAAGTGTCTTTCCCGCCCCAGTTGCTGCTGTCCCAAGGGCTTTCGTGCCGTTGCATGCGCCACCAGTGGTGCCCTGTTCTGGCACGGGCAGCAGCAGCGGGCCGGTGTCGCCTGTGGGCGGCGCTGCAGCAATTGCTGGTGCCAGGCGGGGCCCAAAGAAAGCTTTCGCCTACCCAGTGCCACCCCGCAGCTTCGGCATCAACGCGCGGCTCAACTACGAGGTGCAGACAAGTTGCCACACGCACAAGACGGCTACATAGCCTGCCAAATGGCAATTCGGCCGGCTATTTGAACTCCGTCAAGCATATCTTTTACAGCTGGATCCTGAAGGGCGTGGGACTGTCGCGTCTTTGCTGCAGCAGCAAGTGAACCGAAGTCCCTCACAGCGGAGTGATTAAAGTCCGGGGAGCAAATCTTTTACAGCTGGCCCCCGGAAGGGCATGGGACTCCTGCGTCTTTGCTCCAGCAGCAAGCGAGCCTGAGTCTCTTATAATGGTGCGATGAGCAAAAACCCCAGACGCCCACTTGGGCACTCAATTGTTTTAGTGCGCTACACGAAGCAGCAGGAAGTACCATGAACTGCAGCAAAGGCTGCGGCTCTTGCGGCAACAGCCGTCGCAGCTGTGCCAGCGGAAAGAAACGGCAATAATGCCACTAATTGTTATTGTCCAATGTCGCTGCCTCGTGGGACCCGTGACCGTGAAGCGAAGCCTTTTCACTGTAGCAGTAAATGTAGGTGCTCCGAAATCCATAAAGATGCAAGGAGCACTACCACTACGTTATCCAGTATCGATGTCTCCTGGGCCCCGGAAGTGTAAGGCGAAGTCTTTTAACTGTAGCACTAGATGAAGGCGCCCGTAAAGAGACACAGTGTGCGCTCAGTTGTATGTGCAACATGCATGCGCCTCATTTACTCCCATCCCAAGCAGGGGAATTTGCTTTTTAGTACTCATTTAACGGCAGCATGCGTATTCATGCATGGGAGTCTCGCTGTGCACACAGCTGTAGCTCAAGAAAGTCACACGCAGGCACACATGCGACACTGCATCCAATCACCAGGAATCCAAAGCATGCATAAGCGGCAAAGACCCAAGAGAGGCCTCCCCAACAGAGAAATTTGGAAGGAACTGCCCTTCGAGGTTGATATGCTGCAGCTGTTGCTATTTGCCGCTGAAGTTCAAATCATATCCATATCATCTCCAAGATCTTCATCCTCCGCCTGAATTCACTCCACATGACAGGAAATGCAGTTTATGTGTGAAGGCGCATTATCTCTGCGGCTCCTGACGACACCACAGCCAAGAACTGTCCGTTCTGGTTCTGCAGCACCTGCTGTCCAAGGTGCTTGTGCTGCTGCTGCTATAGCCGCTAACTCACGCGAGCTCGTTCCTCCTGCATTGCCCTCTTCCTTTCATCATCTTCTGCAGTCTGCTGCCGCTCAGTGCTGCCAGGGTACTGCATCGCCTGAACGTGATACCAGAAAACGCGCACAGACTACCGACTTGCACGGCTACTGCTGCAAGCCTTGCGGGCTGCCGGCAGGCTTGCTGCTGCTGCTCACCTTCACTGCATCATTGTACAGATCGAGGCAGAAGGTAATGCGGCGGTGGAAAGCTTTCTGCGGCTCGTTTGACGCGTAGAGGTCCACACTAGCCTGCGCATCAAACATAACAGATGCAATACCAGTGGCAGCCACAAACTCAAATTCATGCCTCTACACAGAACTGAGTATGAGGCCGGCTACAATAGTAATGAAGGCCCGCAAGGCACAGCGAGAAACAAGACAAAGCGCCCCGGGGTAAAACGAGTAGCTCTAGGCGGCCAGCAAAGGCGGACCTTCGACTGAAGGAACTGTTTGTCATGATCGATGGAGGCATCGATGACTCTGTCCAGAATAGCCTTTCCCGCCACTGCCTCAGCCTCTTTTGCAGAGTCCAACCCCAGCTTCTTGGCTATGTCTTTCTGCAAAGAGACAACACACCGCATTCTCAGGAAGGCAGCTGCAGCCATGCTCGCTGCGGGGTTGGGGAGGTGCAGCAGTGGGCTGTGCTCAAGGAGCTGTCAGTCCCGCTGCAGCACCCACAGATTCCTCCCATAAGCCGCCATAGAAAAGGCAGAACCAGCAAACTGATTCGGAGGGACGCATCAGCAGCCACAATGCCGGCACGCCGCGCTGCGCAGGCCCAGCAGCAACCATTCTGAAATCAGTGGCTACAGCCGCTTTTGCTGCAGTGGATAGAGCAGTGTAAACTCACCAGGTAAATTCTGGAATACGAAAGAGAAATGATACGGAGACCAGCCCGTATGACATTCTGATGCAGTCGGCACAGCAGAGTGTAAGTATCGTCAAGCCTAAACCGCTGCTCGTGCTGCTGCAGGACTGAAGCAAAGGCATGCAAGTCGCCGCTCCGAACAGCCTACGGCAGACGTACACAGTAACGAGCGCAGCGGAAAGATGCGAGTGGAGGTGACCGGCCAAGTCTTTAGCTAATTTCCTCTTCCCGCTGTGCCTTTCTTTGCTGCTTCAGCTCATATAGCTTCAGCTGCTGCTGCTGCTGCCGCCGAGAAACGCACCAGAACTATTTCTCTGTACGGCACAAGCTCCGCATGCATGTTTTGTTTGTTAAAAAGGGAACGTTCCGGGATATCTCCCATGAGCAGCTCAACGACGATGCACTTCTTGAGAGCCTGCAACAAACAGCGAGAAAGCTGATTCGGCAGCTACAGCCACAGAAAGATCTGCAGGGCCCGTGCTGCTGCTGCTGCTGCTGCTCTGCTGCCGTTGCTGTAGTTCCACCTAATGCTTATATGCTCTCACCGCTAGCCTGAATCCGCGTGCTATGGTCGGCTGTTGTGGGGCTTTGCGCAACGCCAACTGAAGCTGAGAGAAAGCCGAGCCATACTCCAAACGAGCTGCCTGGATTTGGCCTGCAGCAGCAAAAGCAGCTCACGTAATTGCTGATGGGCCAGCAGCAGCAAATGACGCAGCAGCAGACGCCCAAGCAGCGGCCACAACTGAAGCAGCTACAGCAGCTGTGGTAGGATTGAAGGCCAAGATAGCGGACAAAACAAAACACAAGTACTGCTCCAGCTGCTGCAAGGCAAGCAACTGATGCAGCAGCAGCAGCAGCATACCCAGGTAGTACAGGTAACGCGCATGCTGTGCGTTTGACTGGAGGCCCTCAGGGAATGCTGTCTTCTGGACCTGCAAGCAGAAAACGGTAATTTTCAGTGCACTGTTATGAGCCCAAGCAGCAGCAGTGACAGTAGAGAAGCAGCATGATGAACAGGAGTATGGAGAGCTTCCTGTGATTTGCCACGAGCTCTAGCAGCAGCAGCAGCAGCAGCAGCAGCAAGGTACCAGTTTGAGCGCTACGTCGTACTGTTTGCTTAAGACAAACAGCCTAAGCAGCATGTTCAGCAAAGTCGCCTGCGTAGTAATGTCCCGTCTTGCGCTTGCAGCTCGGTAAGCCGCCAAATACTCCCTTCAGACACAAGAAACATAACTACAATTTGCTACAGCAGGTGCTGAGAACTGTTGCAGCTGCGGAGTCCGTTGCGTTCGGTATTCACTGAGGCAGCAGGAATGACTCTAATTTCAGAAACGCAAAGGACTCAGTTCGAAAAAACAAAGAAAGCGTGCTCTCTGCTCCCCAAAGATGAGCCTGAACTCCACTAACGCCGAAACCCTAAAGCCTAGCAACAAGTTCTGAGCCTTACGCGCGGCAGTCGAAGTTTTGTTTGGAAAGCTCCAGTGCCCTGCTGTGGTAGAACCACGCCTTTGCGGAAAGTCTGTCTAGAGAGCGTCTGTCGTACTGCTTGACCCTCTCGATGATGCAGCAGCTGAATTCCCATGCTCTCTCCCACTGCTGCTGCTGCTGCGCCTGCGGCTGGCGCGGACGCGGGTCCAGCAGCAGCAGCAGCACGAGAGTAGAGAGCAAAACCTCCGCCTCCGGCATACAGCTGACAAAAGAAGACGCGCGGAAGGAATGCAGCACCTTGCTGCCCGTCGCTGCACCTGATCGCGGTCCTGTTGCTGCTGCTCCTGCATTTCCTGCTGCAGCACCGACTTCTTCCTTGGTCTGCTGCTGCTGCTGTGGAACCTGCGCAAAGCCAAAACACCGCACCTCCAGAAGCTAAACTTCACTACAAACTAAGCCAGCTAAGTGCTGCAATTCTGTAGCGGGTTGATAGTTAAGGGTTAAGAGCTAAGAGTTACCCCGTCAGCCTCCATTTCTCCCTCGCCCTGCCTTTCGTTGACAATCATCTCCAGTGTTTCCCTAAGCTTCTGCCAGAACTCCAGAGTTTTCTGGTTCAGGTGGCTTGGGTTCCCACAGGCGCTGGCGTTGCTGCTGGCGTCGCCCTGCAGTTGGTGCTGCTGCCCCCAAAACAGCAGCGAGCAAACTTGCAGAAGCTGCCGCGGGTGCTCTTGTTGCTGCAGCCGCAGCTGCTTGAAACGCCGCAGCATGCGCAGCATGTAACGCTGGTCCTGTGTCTCAACGGCATCTCTGACCAGGACGAGAGAGGAGGTGAGTAGCTGCAAATACTTCTCTTTTGGGTCTACTGTGGCTGCTGCAGCAGTTCCTGCCGCCTTGGCTGCTGTTGCAGAGGAGTCCTTGGCCTCTGAGGCCTTGTTGGTGCTTTCCGCGGCCATTTCTGGGGGGAACTGCAGAGAGCAGCCTGTGGCTCTGCGCTTGAGATTTGGGGCTTGAGGGGGGAGGCCCCCGTGTGAAATAAAGGCGAGACAACGCTAGATGCAGCACCAGCAGAGTCAGCTGTTGCTGTCCCTGATGCTGGTGGCAAGGAGAACTTGACTGCTGAAGGGGCACGGGCTTGGGGGCGATGAGCTGGGGATGCAGCCATACAGCACAGCTGGGAGACAGGAAAAGTCATCCCCTATTTGTACTACAACTGCCTCTTCACTTGTTTCTTTTTAAATTGGTGAGCTGGAGCCGCCGCCGCCAGTACGGCAGCCGCCACAGCCGCCGCAGCAGGGTCTGTCAGCAGCAGCCAACCAGCAACAGCAGCAATGGAAGTAAGTTTCCGTTTAGTTTGTCTGACATTCTTTTCTGTTTACTAAAAATAGTATAAGTAAAACTTGTCTTATTGTAGTGCCCTGTTCGCACTAAATTGTGTGCACTCTGCTTGACCCAACCCTTTACCACCTTGCCGGTCTTTGAATGTGCGTGCATTTACTGCATGCCGCATCGGAGCAGCTCCGATGCCAACTCTTTTTCGTAGTATCATCTCAGTGGACCAA